TCTTGGAAGAAAAGCAAACTAAAAAGATTCAAAAGGGACTGGATATCTGAAGTATAACATCATTAAATAAACATGTATGCAAGAAAATATAATTTTATATTGTAACGTCATTCCTGTTCCTTTGTTGTCTGCTATTTGACGTTTCAGTGGTATGTACATAAAAGCGTTCGGTGAAACGATACCGAATGCACTTTGTAAATCATTATTTTACAACAAATAAGTGTAGACATACAGACAGTAGTAATAAATAGTCTCATGCTTACAGTTCATAAATTACATTCATAGAAAATTGGATGTTCGAAAGAGTAAAGTATCATTAAAAGAAATATACATACATCTATAATGAATCATTCTCATACAAATGTACAATAATTCAATAATAATTAGACACCGGATAGTATTCATCCCCTGAATTAAATTCCGAGGAACTCGAATCGATTTCAACCTTCCAAAATACATTTACACGAGGGCACAATGAACTATAATATATCACAAGACAGCTTCACAAGCACACGTTGTCCGTTTAGATACTTTCTTAACACGTTCCGTTAATACCAGGAAAGTAAGGATACTGAAACGGTATCAGAGGGACAGAATCTTTCCGTTCACCGACCCTTTTTGTCCATCAATTCCAGTTCTTGGAGATCTTCGGTAGGTATGTCTGCGTCACCGTATCCCCATACGTGGCTGCCGTCGCCGGTTCGATCCGCCCTGCGCTTGACCATCGTCGGTGACACGAACTTCCGATCGTACGCCCAGCCAATCCGCGCGAACGCATCGATAAGGCCAGTGGTCGGATTCAACTTGTAATTGCCGAGCTCACCGGTCTTGTAGTCCCACGGGAAGACGTGGTGAAAGTTGTGCCAGCCCTCGCCGAGGGCTGCTATCGACACCGCCAGATTCTCCACCGAAGAAATATACCTGAAAATTGTACGAATTCGATAAATAATAGACGATTCGTATGCAAACTGTTGGAAGAGATCGGAAAAATGATAACGACTTACTTGTCGTAAGGTCGTTGACCCCACATGTGCGCCGCGCTGTTCACAAAGAACGCTATGTTAAGCGTGACACAAAAACGGAAATTGAAGTTCACCCAAAATGACGTCCAGACGGATTCCGACCAAAAGTAACAAGGCACGGCTACCGGAAATCCAATAGCTAACAGGGCGAATAGAGGAATGTAGAGTCTGAAAGTTACACATATACAAAAATAGTATTATGTATTCTATGTCCATAATAATATCTTTTGTTTTATAAATAAATATAGCATATGACATTTTAGAATGTATAAGAAAGTCCACGTTGTAGTCCACGAAATACTTCAATCGTTTCTAAGATTTTTGCTATAATACAAACAAACGCTGAGTTTTTGTATAAATTACTTCAACTACTAGGTAGAATAGTAAAATTTTATGAGATTTATTCTGAGATTATGTTCGGTATGTTTACCTTTTCTGCCACATGACGATCGAGTCGGCTTCCAAATCGCTCATATCCACCGCTTTTCGTTTTTTAACTACTTCCGGATGCGGCGTGACGAGTAACCAGCCAACGTGGGCGAAGAAGAAACCTCGTTTCACGTTATGAGGATCCGCGTCGGTTTCGCTGTATTTGTGGTGCACTCTGTGATCCAACGCCCATGCGTACACGTGCTTCTAAATTAACCAAATGGTTCGACAATTAATTAAATACTTGAGCAATATGAAAATCGACAGTTTTAATAGAAAGAGTGATAATTACGAACTTGGCCGGTGATGGTGAACAAGAATATGAGGAATAAGCGAAGAGGCCACTTCGCTTTGTACGCTCTGTGGGACCATAATCGATGCGCTCCTGCGGTTATGCCAAATCCGGACGTGTATACAATAAAGAACGCTGAGACAAATTAAAAATTGAATTACACAAATCTATTAAGGTTGTATAAGTCTTTGGATAAAAACAGTGACGAAGCATGCAAATTTTAACTGTTACTAGGTATGACATTAATTAAACACTGCGGAAAATTTCAGATTTGCGAGACTATTAAAAAATTATTGTATCTTGAATTTTTATGTTGAATCCTCAAACTCATTTTTAAAAATATTTTAAAATTGAAATAATATCAGCTTAGAGAATAATTTTTAGATTCGAGAACGTCTACTTTAAGGATGTATAGGC